TTAGGGCAGGTTTTGCACAGTTCGTGCTTCTGTATGGATTCATAGCAGTGACCAAGTGTTGACTTGTAAGGAAGTAGATTTCCTGTGTCCTGGAGTGGAGCCTGGGTTGGGGCTGTGCTGTCTTCTTAAAGCGGGAGTGGGTCAGCTAGTCCAGGCTGGCCTTGAACTCGCTGGGGTAGTAGAGGACAACCTTGAAGGTCTGATCCTTGGCTGGCACTTCTTGAGAACTGGACAGGCATGTACCACCACACCTACTCTTCTGTGGTACTGGGAATCACACCCAGGGCTTCGTGCATGCGAGGCCAGCATTCTGAGCTTCATCTGGAGCCCTGAACTGTCATCTCTCAAGCATCTCTCTAAGAAATGTATTGTCCTTGTGGTGGTTCGTCCTACCATGTCTGTGCCTTCCCTTGCCTCTAATGCAGCCTGCCCTGAGAGGCACACTTCCTGTCTCTATCTAGATCCCTAGGCTCTGTCTTGCTCCTCAGGTAAGGTGGAATCTGGGCAGCCCTGATTGACCACTAAAATTACCTGGCGTGAGTGAGAAAGAAACACAGAACACGCAACAAACCTGCTTAGTTTATTAGAGGGGGCGTGCACGAGCCTGGGAAGTCAGTGTGCAGAGAGCGGGAGGAAGATGGCGTGTCCAACTTTTAAAAGCTGCCTAGTGCATGCGCACAGGGGTTGACGTGGCTACGTCATATGCAGATGGCGGGGCTCACGCATGTGCACAAGGACTCAGCTGAGTCATACGTGGATGATGTAATCCACGCATGTGCACAAGGGCTTAGTTGAGACGTATGTGGGTGATGTAATCCACGCATGGATACAAGGACTTAGCTGAGTCATTGTGAATGATGCAATCACGCATGCGCACAAGGGCTTAGCTGAGTCCTACGTAGGTGATGTAATCCACGCATGGATGCAAGGACTTAGCTGAGTCATATGTGGATGATGTAATCCACGTATGTGTGCAAGGGAGTTGAATTGAGCGTGGATCATGCGGGGCCCTTTAACATCCCGAGAACCATTAGGCACTTCTGCCTGAAGGCTTGTCTTGCCTTGTATGACCCCTAGTACCCGGAAGTATCAACCTTATGTGGCTGAAATCATTACAGCCACACTCCACTGGACCAGGAATCTGCCAGGCCCTGGCTGAACTGATCACTTCCACTACCCAGACGGTCCAGGCGAAGTTTCAAAACTACCATGAACCAATCAATGTCCAGGTGAACGAGACAGACAGATGAAGGGGAAGCAGAGGGGCCATGTGGCCCAGGGAAGACATCAGAGGCCTCTGCCGAGAGCCACAAGAAGGAGTGGGGAAAACCCCAAGGCTGTCTGGTTCTTGATACCTGCTCCCCTGATATCCAGGATGAGTCTAAGCCATATGAAGTCACCTGATATCCTTTAGATTTACTGGTTTCAACTTAACATGAAACTAAGCCTGTCCTGGCATTCTCATTCCTCCCAGAACCCTGCCCTCACTCATCTCGGTGCTGAGGGTCAGGTGCAAGCCTCCGCTGGAAGTCCTGCCCTTCCATGAAACTCACTGGAAAAGGGTGAGCTCCTTCATCCCCTTTCCCACCTTTCCTTCTTGAGGACATGAGATTTCCAACTAAGAAACATCTTCCAGACCCTGTTAGCTACGAGGCATGGTGGGAAGAGAACCGGCCTTCACACTGTACCAGGCACCATTCAGAAATGGATCCAACCATCGCCTTCAAAAAAACCCCAGTCGGTTGCCATGGTTACATAAGAATTAAAGCCCAGAGAGATCAGATGACTTGTCAGAGCCACACAGCCGAAAGAGCTGGGATTTCAAACACGTGCAACGTGTTTCCGGCAAGACCCTGAACTGGCAGAAGTTTGACTGTTTCTAGTGAATTCGGAAAATTTCATTAAGAGGATTGGTTGCGCCTCAGCCTAACTGGTGGTAAACACCTAGAAAAACCACCTGAGGAGCCCAGGAGCTCTCATGCCATCCCGGTGGGAATCCCTGCTGGGTCTGTCCCCAGACAGACTTGCACACACCAGAAGGCCGGTGCACCGGCCCAGAGGCAACCTAAAGGGAACAGGCTGGCCTCTGCTCTGCTAGGCTGAACCCAGGGAGGCCTTCTCCCTTCCCACAAGCCTTCAGGCCAGAGTCCACAGACAGCAAGCTGAGGAACACAGCTGCCTTACCTGCCATCTGCCAGATTTCTGCCATTCACCTATTCTCATGGGCCACCTGTGAGCACTGGTGTGGGCTCAGCATCCAACCCCATCCCTCCCACTGAGCCTCATCGGACAGTATTACTTTAGAGAAGTTGCCCAACCTTCCTGCCCTTGATTTTCATATCCATTGAATGGGAATAGGAATAGACTCTCAGATGCCTGTGGTCAGAAGCGTTCAAAATTTGAGACATTTTCAGATACTGGGCTGATTTTTTTTCATGAACGTAATGAGAGGCTTTGGGAAAAGGACCTAAACAAAACGGCAGATTTGGTGTTTCATAGACACTTGGCATAGCCCGTACAGTTGTTTTAACAATTTTGTGTGTGTGTGTGTAGTATGGAATGGAATTTTCCACTTCTATAGCATCAGTGCTCAAGAGCTTTGGGGTGTAAGGACATTTGGGGCTTTGGATTTTCAGGTAGAGCCGGACTCAAGCAGTACTTACCTTCTGGGCGGATTGTGGTGGCGTGATGCCTTAACCCCTGTCAAGTTCCCAATGGTGTCTAACAAAGCTCTTGCTACCCAGTTGAGAGAGAGAGAGAGGCCCCTGCACTGAATAGCCCCAAATAAAATGCAAACTGAAAGAGGGAGGAAGCCTCCTGGGATTGGAGGCTTGTTCCCAGGTCACCCACCATGATTCCCTGAGGCCCAGCTATTGCACCTCTTGCCAGGACCATCCCCTTGACCAAGGCTGGCTGCTGCCCCTGTCATGGCTGCAGTGGCTTCTAAACTCTATTGCCATAACCTGCAGTGCATTAAGGTACGCTCTTTGGAATGTTTCAACTAATAAATTAATAATAGTTATTAATCAATCATCAATCAATCCCTGGGGCCTGAACCTCCTTTCCACACCGAATCCGGCCATCTTTTTATAGCCACATTATGAACCTCTGCAGACAGGGCGGCCCGCGGGGGCTCCAGCCATAACTGGCCCAAAGAGCCGTTCAGCCGTGATGGCCCTGATTAGGACAAGGTGGGGCAGGTGACCAGAGTCCTGCTGAGGGAGAACTCTAGATTGCACAGGGGCCTCCAACCTGCCCCAGCATCCGCTAAAAGGTTCTTGTGCCTGAGGCTTCCAAATCCTTCTGCAAGCTTCAAGAACATTCCCATTTGCACGCTGGCCCAAATGGAGTGTTAGAGAGAACAGACTCCACCCAGCCGGGAAGCTTAGGGCTCAGGGACCAGGAAGGGGAAAGAGAAGCCCACGAAAGTCTTTAAAGTCTAAATTTATTCAGGTGTTGAAACGAACAGAAACAATGTCATGCATCGGTTACTTTTCCCCTTTGTACAACGAAACTAAGTGCTCAGATGTCTCTGCAGAGGTTTGGCGCTCGCTTTTTTTTTTTTTTCCTTTCTTTCCAGAACGTCAGGCAGACTTTTCAATGTTATCCAGTTTTGCACAGTCACTGGAGTGTCGCGTCATGAATTATTAAATCAGTGCTTCGTGGTAATACATAATTTCTTATCAATTATTCATGCTAATGTGTGTGTAGTTTACTTAATTGTGTTATTGACGATCAAAAGTAATTTCCTGAAAGTCCTCAAGGACACAGAATTTAATCAGCATAACTACTTTTCGGATGCAATGCTGTTAAGTATTCTTAATTTGCCCAACAGTTCACTTATTTATGTACCTTTCTGGAGGAAATACGAGTTTAATCAAACAATTAGATTGAAGAGTTAGTGTGCATAAGGGCTGGCGCATACATTGCTCGACCAAACCTTCATAATCACAGGGAAATGGAAGCAACTCGGCCGCTTTTTGGCAAATCACTTCATCTTTGTACTCAACAAGCAAAATACAGCAGGAACAAAGATCTGGCTTTTTTTTTTCTTTTTTTCCTTTTTCTTTTTCCTTTTCTCTTTTTTTTTTTTTTTTTTTTTTTTTTTTTTTTTTAAGGAGACAGTGTTCTATCAAATGCGTTACAGTAACCTTAAGTGAGGCACGATACACCTAGGAGCATTTCAGGGCAGGGGCGCCTGAGGAGTTAAGGGGGAGGCAGATAATCTGAAAGCAGAGCCTTCTGAGGATCGGATTGGAAATGAAAACAGCCTTCATGAAAGCAGTAACTGTTTGCGTGGAAATACGGCAAAAGTTGCCAAAGACCCCCTTCCGGTACCGGGAGGGGGCGGGGCTCATGCTATTGCACTTCCCCCCTTTGAACTCTTCGAGGTCACCATCCACGGGAGAGAACACAGCCCACACTAGCCAGAGGGAGAAAAGAAATCTGGCCCTTCGGAATCCATTCTCCTCTGCCATCTTTCCGGGGTTTCCTGTTTGCGCGTCCACACGTCGGCCAGTCCTGTCTCATCGCCCCTGCAGATCCCCCTTAACATGAGGGGGTTACGAAGAAGGGCAGTTTACTTGTGCATAAGTATTTCGGGGGCCTTCCTGGGGATCTCCTTCCTCTTTGAGAGGCTCTTGTCCTCTCTTCGGCCACAAAGCTACTTTCTGATTGGTGACCTCCCCGCCATTGTCGCCATTCTTCTGAAGAGACGTAGGGTCTGCAGGTGGACACTCGAATTGCAGGGGACCCACATTTGCTCCCCGGGTGGCAGAACTGACAGGCCGTCTGACTAGGACCAGCCAGATGTGCCCAGAGAAATCTGCCAGGGTCAGGACCACTGCGGACTCATCCCATACTCTGTCACTTTCTACCCAAAACCTCAGCTAATACCTTTAAACAAGAGGAAGGGGGTTGTCACCAGTACTGGCTGAGAGCGAGAACTGGTAGATGCCAGTTCTGTGGTTCTTAAACCATATGAGAGTGACTGTCATGTTCCTTGTCATGACATGTCACTTGATGTCTTTCAGAGATGATTCATGCCACCGTACTTGGAGTTGACTTAAGATAACTTAAGAAGGGTGGTGGGGTGAGCAAATCTGCTTAGCCCCTGTGCTGCTTGGCCTGAAAAAACAAAAAACAAAACCAAGGGCTTCACCACGAAGCAGTTTCCAGAGCCACTAAGTGCCATTGGGAACTGTCACCGAGAGAAGTTAGAACAACACTCTCCTCAACCAGCAGAGTTCTAGAGTGATCCAGGTCACTAGGACGAGCCAGATGTGCCCAGAGATGGCTGCAGGCCTCACGTTCCCTGCCCGATCCACGAGGAGGTGGCTACTCCTTATGGCACAGAGAGTTGCAGGGCTGAGGCTGAGAGAAGCAAGGGTGGGGAGGGCTCCAGGCTGGACACTCCGGACCCTCATACGTTCTTCTCTCCCTCACTCTGTTCCTTGGCTGAAGAGGCCTTGTCCGAGCTGCCTTCTGGAGGTGCCTGCTTGGCGGCCGGGCTGGGGCTGCTGCTGGCGGACGGCAGGAGATTGGCTGACTGCAGAACGGCTTCTGAATGCTCCCGGGCCTTCATGCGCAGGGCTGCCACACTAGCTGTGCGGTTACTCTGGCAACCGTAAGTGGGGAGGAAGGAGAGCCCCATGGGGTCTGGGACACAGCAAGAGCACAGTGGGCCTCCTAGAGGAAGGAAAACAATAGGCTCCATCAGTGTTCAGACTCTGTTTCTTAAGGCCGCGGAGGGGCTAGGCCCCAAAATAGGGACATTGATTCCACTTGGTTACGGGTACTAGACTGAGGACAAAACCCCAGGTTCCCAAGGATGCAGGGCTCTAGACATCCAGCTGGTGGTTCAGAGGACTAGCAGAGGATCAGGAGACCTGGTCAGTCTTGGCCCTCTCTCTCACCAGCCATCTATGTTGTCTTAATCTAACATTGACTTCTCTGAACTTAGGTGACATGGAATGAGTGTCATGATGAGGGTCTGGGGAAGTCATCCCATACTCCCAAACCGTGTGCCAAGTCACCCCTAACAACTCGGCGTGAGGCTCTGCTGGGTACCCAGCTGCTCTACCTGTTGCCGGCTCGAAATCACTCACAACTTCCATGTGCGACCAGAAGGCATCCCACTCAAGAAGGTCAAATGTCTGTGAAGCGTGACTTTGCAGGGACCACACCAGGGGGGACAGGAAGCCACATGGGATATACAGCGAAAGTGCTGGTGTGGTCTGCCTGCCACGTTGGAGCAGCTGAGCAGGGCTCACCATGTGCGGCAGTTCATTACAGGGGTTAGCTCTTTAAACTGATTATCTTTCCAGCTATAAGAATTCTTTTCCAAATGCCTGCAAAGTTGCTGAGAAGACATAATGCTTACTAAGTTATTTGGATCTGGCCATTTAATGAAAAGAACTGTTGACTATTGCTTACGGCCTCAGGGCTGAAAGGACTGAGGTCTGGGGCTCTGAAGTGGTTGCTGGAAACACATTTAGCACAGACCCAGGCCTTGAATTCTTCTTCTTCTTCTTACTCACTTGTGACCTCTTGCCTGGCAAAGAGGAGATGTACTGCCCTGGAATCCCGGAAGGGGCCCAAGTCAGAGCTGAGAAGCATGGAATGAGTAGAGTCCCCTGTGCCTCTGGTTGCCCTGCCATCTTGGACATGCCCATAAGTGCTCATGAGCCAATTTTCTACTCTCTGAGCCCAGCTTGAAGTCCCCCTCTTCAGGCCACCTCAGAGCAATAACCCAGATAGAATGCCACTTGCTTGCAAAGCCGTGAAGGCCCGAGTCTCACAGAAACCAGTCTCTGGGGGTGACCTCAGCACTGTTAGCTGTGTAGGCAGCTGGAGGGCCTCCACCTTCCTTTCCCAGGGACACACTTTGCCGCTCAGTGCCAGAGCCGGGAAAACCTCCTCCTCCTCAGCATACTCAAGGATTTTATTCTTCTTTTGCCCATCCTTCTCTAAAGCAATAAGAAGATCCCCTTGGCCCCGTTCACCGTTACCTCTCATCACCAGTATGGCCCTGAAAGGGTGGGTATTCCTCCTTGCCCTCTCCAAATAAGGAGTCAGAGGTTCCATGCCTTACAGAGGTGGGAGCAGTTGCTTCTGGCACCTTAATGCAATGACTCAAACGCAGCTGCAGCTTCCTGACTTGGTTTTGAAATGGGACCTGCTACCTATACCCAGGTAGCAGCTACCAAGATGAAGGAGAGACATACCACCAAGACCACATGCACAAGGGAATTCTGAGAACTATTCTCCCAACCCTGACTGCCTGGCTGGCGTCTAACCTGGCATGCATTTGATCAGACTCTGAGGCCTGCATGTTCCCAGTTCCCAGGGGCTTCACACAAAGTGTTATGCCGACACAAGCCGTAGTGAGCTATCACTGCAGACGCTCAGCTTTTTCTTGGAAGGATACCTGTGTGGGCACCATGATCTGGGGACCCCCTCCTAGGTGACCTTTTCCCCTCCAGGTCCCCTTCCCAAGAAGGCACTTGTTGAAGAAAACTGAAGGTGTGAAGAGACCGAAGTATTAAGAATTGTGGTCCCTTTGGGGAAATGGATAGCAAAGAATTGGTGGGTTTTCTTGGTTTGGAATGTTTATACTTTTCAATAATGAACCTAGAAACCTTCTTTGTTAATGAATAGTAAAAGAGAGAGAGAGAGAGAGAGAGAGAGAGAGAGAGAGAGAGAGAGAGAAGACTGGAGTACAACTGAGAGGAAGGCCGGGAGGCCGGGAACCCAGGGCCTCGTGCAAGCTGAATAAAATTCATTAAGTGCACTTGCCATAATTAAAAATAAATGTAAGAAACAGACATGGTCAAAGGATGGGTCCATCTAGTCCAGGAAGATGAGGGCCACAAGAGGCTAGTATGTATGAGACGGGAGAGAGGCTGCCTCTGTGATAGCATCAAAGGCGAGCAGAAGACAATGGAGACAGGCTGGGATCTAACACAGTGTAGAATCCGTCATCTGTGCTTAAGGATCCAACTGTTCAAAGTGAAGCCTGGTTTTTCCACGAGTACAGGAAAGTTGTTGTGACCCCATAATGTTATAAACTGTCTTAATAGCCAGGCAGTGGTGGCACGCTCCTTTAATCCCAGTACTTGGGAGGCAGAGGCAGGCGGATCTTTGTGAGTTCAAGATCAACCTGGTCTACAAGAGCTAGTTCCAGGAGAGGCTCCAAAGCTACAGAGAAACCCTGTCTCGAAAAACAAAACAAAACAAACAAACAAACTGTCTTAATAGAGACAAAATCCACACAAACAGGGAGCGCAGAATCTTCTTCCTCTTTGGTGGCTGTACCCTGCCTTTCATCTTCCATCAACAGATTCCTGTCATCACTCTAGGGAAAGGGGGGACACTCCAGATTGCTGGGTACACACATTCTTCAAAATTGACATCAGCCAACATCTCCCTTAAATCTCACGGCCACTTTTAAACAAAGAAAACAATGACTTCTAGGTAGAACCCCTATAAAACTAACTCTTGATTTCTCAGTAATCTTGCAAATAAGACAAGCTATCAGATGTCTCCACAAGCCAGCATCCCAATAGCTTCCTAGGCCAAAACACTCCTAAGAACTTGAGGCAACAATGGTGAACCTCATCCTTGCTGATTCCAGAGTGGCTGGTTATTCAAAGCTATGGTGGGGAAGATTCCGTCCAAGACTCGACAATACCCAGGAGAAGTCCATTCAAAGCCCTTTCCGTGTGCTTCGGGCTTCTGTGTATGCATTTCTGGCTAAAATTCTCTGCTTTAGAAGGTTGTCACAAACAGAAAAAAAAGGTGATTGTTGTTAGCAAACATGTTAGTGGGTTATAAAGAGGAGAAATCTTACATAGACAACCTTAAAAAAACAAAAACAAAACAAACCTCAACAGATGTAACCTATGGCTGTTTAATACCAGGAAAGCCGTGAGAAATGCTATCTGAGGACTAGGGAGTGAGCCCAGGGGGAACATGCTTGCTGAGTACTAATAGAAACCTGAATTCAGAACCCACAAAAAAAGCTTGATTCAGTGGTACATGCCTGCAATTTTAGTGTTGGGGGACAAAGACTGGGGCCTCACTTGCCAATTGAACTGTGAGGCTCCAGGGTCACTTGGAGACTCTGTCTCAGAAACCATGCGATGGAAGAAGATCACTTTTGGCTGCCACTCACTCTTCAACAAGCGAGGACACACATACACATGGACAAACATATATACATATTTGTGTGCATACATATATATGTATATATACGCATATATATAAATTTTAAAAAGAAAGGAGAGAGAGAAGGGAGGGAGGGAGGGAGGGAGGGAG